TTGTCTCACCCGGAGGTTGAGTTTCTATGGTGAATGGATAGTGATGCAATGTGTACAAATATGGCGTTTGAATTGCCATGGGAGAGGTACAAAGATTCCAACTTTGTGATGCACGGGATCGGGATCGACAGTGGCTCTCATTTTTCTCTCTCAGTCTCCAATTAAGTCCCATTTCCGGCGGCTCACGGGGTTGGGTTATGTGTAAAGGTTGGTAGTTGATGGTTTTCTCACAGAAGAGGGAGAGACAGAGGAAGAAAGGAAGAGGAAGGAATTAATTTTTTTTAATTTGTTGATATTTAAGTGGGTCTAAATTGACATGTGGCGTCAAGTCATTGTCCATGTAGACATCACGTCATTAGTTAACTGAGGTTCTAACTGAAAACTTAACGGATGTATGAAAGTTTCCTAAAATTTTAGCTTTAGGTACCAGACTGGAATAAAAAAAATTTGATGTATGAAATGTTGAAAGCCAATAAACTTTAGGGTAATAAATTAATATTAACCCTATACACAAACACACACATAGTTCTATATAGAGATATATGTAAAACTCTATATATGCAAATCTTCAAACACTCTCATGAGTAATGATAGGGGTGATTCGGTATGGGATATTATACCGAAACTAGTATTCCAAATCTCAAATCGAAAATTTTCGGGACAGAAATTTGAAGACCATTCTCAAATCAAATTTTCGGAAATCCCAAATGGGGAATCCTGAAATATTTTTGGGATTTCGGGACAAATCGGAAATCCCAAATTGAAATATGAAATTATGAATTATTCTTCAAATATATAATTCAAGAACACATTCATGAACTAAGAATGTCATTTCATTCACACTACCATTTAATTGAACACTGGCAGGCCTAACTGTTTTTATCAGAGTCAAAATTCAAATTAATTAAACCCTTTTGCAATCTGTTGAGAGACAAAATAATCAAGCCTTTTGAAATCATCAGCCATGGTAGCAGCAATAATAAAATCCAAATGAATGTCAAACAGAACATGAAAAATATGCAAGGTGTAGGGTATTCCAGGTTGCAGAGCATGAATTAGAAACTACTAGCATCAATTATAAAAGAATAATATATATAATATATATGTATAAATATATATAATAATAATTATTATTATATATTTTTGGTTTGGTATGGGATTCCCGAAATATCGAGAAGCCAATCCCGAATCTCGCACCGAAATTTCGGGATCAGTTCGGGAAAATTTTGAGAATTTCAGTTTGGGATCGGAATTTTTTCGATTTGATTCGGAATTTTTAGGAATTTTTTTCCACCTCTAAGTAATGATGTTTAGCCAGAATTGATATTGAAAAAAATTATTGGAAATGAAATAGCGATGAAGTGAGACTACGTCTTTTTACGGATCTCAGATGACCTACGTTTGATTTAAAGGAAAACTAATGAAAAGGGTTTGAAAACTTTGAGTTTTAATGATAAGGACAAAATAAAGGGTAAAGTGAATAGTACCAGGATTGACTTTTTAGTGTAAAAATGTGGTTTTTCGTTAAAGTGAACAGTACCGGGAGCTTTTCGTTAAAGTTCCCTTGATTTAATCCTAACCATTACCCCACTCTCCCACCGCATAAGCTAACTGCAAAATATCATGTTTGCTTTGTGTGGATGAATGCTTTGGATCTGAAAGGAGTCATATAAATTGGATCTTTGACCTTAGTAAGTATCAATAAGCAAAATAATTAGCATGCCGATCGCGTTGTAGGTTTAAATATAGGATAACTAGAAAGATTAAATTTTAAAAAAAAAATTATTTGTCATCAATAGAAAATAAGCATGTTAATTAACACTTAAATAATAACTCAATCATCAACAACTATATCATTTAGTGTGCAAAATTTAGTTTTAAAATTTAGTCTCACCGTTATTACCCTTAAACGTCATACCCTCTTGCAACCAATTAGAGAGATGAAATATTTGCAACGCAAATTAGCAAGATATTAGTATAAGATCAATGTTTTCAACGTGCATAAATGATCGATAAAAATGCTTATTGCTCAGTAGGAATACTGAGTCTAAGCATAATCGTTTAATTAGCAAAATCAGTTAATTAACCCATCAGTACTGTTTCCTTACATCATATATACATGTTGACAACAAAAAAAACTCAGAAAGTGATGCGTGGCGGCATAAAACAGTAAATATAACAAATGGATTAAGTCTACAGTTCGTTCCTAATTGTTTCTAGAAATTTTTTCTGGTAAAAAGAAGAAAATTGTTTCTAGAAGTTTTGTATGCATGTTAAGTCCTTGTAGTTACTCTAAATTACTTAATTATCATCGAAGAATCAAGATTCTTCATGACTTTTTGACAGTGAAATAAGAAGAAGATGGAATATCAGTAGTTAATTTACTTTTGCACGTACATTCTTTACCATGTCATTTCTAACCTAGGGAAAGATATATTTTCCAGATTCCTTCCACTAAATCCACCAAATCCATCAATACGGGCTTTGAAATTTAATCCAACTGCTAAAAACAATGGCTCTTTTAAAAGTTACTATAATTTTAGCTGTTAGATCAAATTTCAAGAGTCCGGATTGATGGATTTGATGGATTTGGTGGAAGAGATCCGAGAGGATCCCTTTCTTCTAACCTAGGTAGTCAATATTCCAAACCAAATAAATTATATATTCCATCGAAGAAACAAGAAGGTGGGTTCTGTTATTTTAATCTACGTTTAAACCACTCGCATCATTGGCACTAAATTTTCCAGAAGAAGAAGACGCAGCATATGAAGCCTGTAGTCATCATATATGACATCATGCCATACGTACGTAGCTGAGTAAAAAACTTTGATCTAGAAGTAATTTGTATTTATGTGGGGTCGGCAGATTCTGGGAATCTTTATTTAAATCATATTTTAACAGAGAGATTAAACTAATCAAGGTTAAATCTTTTAGAGGGTAATCTTCCAGAAACTTGGGTGGGAAGAAAAAGAAGCATATTAAATAACTTAAAAAACAAGCCCTCAATTTATGACTTGATCTAAAAGTAATAGGGATGGGGTTCACAATTCTTGACTTATCATGTATTTACGTAAACATCAGGAAAAAAAAAGTGAGTTGTAAATTACTATCTGTTATTAGAATCGATGAGTTTCAGAAAGTAGACAACATTAGGACCGAAGAGAGAAGTTCCAGAGGTGGAGGAAGAAGATGAAGTTTGAGTGGCCATGGGAAGGAGGGAGAGGATCACGGCAAGGGAATTTTGGGAATGGGAAAGTAAGGGAGGGATTTGGATCCTCTCCGGATCCACTTGATTTGAGCCTGCTGATCAAATGATCCGGCTCGTCAAAATTTGATCAAACAGTTATAAACATGGGATCTCTTTAAAAGTTATAATAATTATAGCCGTTAAATCAAATTTGGATGGTCCAAATCACTTGATCCGCGGGTTCAGATCCTTTGGATCCAGAGAGGATCCAAATCCGTAAGGGGGACGACTAGGGTTGGGAAAAAAGTGGGATGTTAGGGTTTGACCAGGAAATGGAAACCTAAAAGAGAGATATTATGGAGAATTATAATTGTATAGATTTCATTGATATCACAATGGTACAAATATACACTAAATTAAGCAATTTGAAGTACAAGTAAACCTAGACTCAAAGAGACTTACAAAACCAAGCCCAACAAAATCCTAACTCGATTCTTCCACACTAACACTATCTAGTAGAGAGTCCAATCTGCAGAGGTGGAGCATTGTTTATTATAGATGGGGATTAAATCCAATATTGGTGAAGAACTAGAAAATTCTCTAGTCATTATCGTAGTATGCATCCATCTCCATCACAGCTTCCGGTTCACCACCATTAGCTACCACTCACAGTCTAGTCTTACCATAGCATGGAATATTTAGAAAATTGGAAGTATGTCAAGTTAATTGGTGGCATATATAAAGATATGGTTTCTATGGTTCTCTAGCTAGCTTCTAGTCTCTTTTAGATTCTTCTGTCTTTCTAAGTGGCATATCTATATTGTAGTTACAACTACAATGTGTCTGTGTGTGCATATATATTGTGGAACTAATTATAAAAGGGTTTTTTTAGCTAAAGTGGTCATTGAGATTTGCATAACTCCTCACTTTGGTCCCTAAGATTTGAAATCAGCAGAATTGGTCCCTGAGTTTGTCCACAATCAATCATTTTGGTTCTTTCTTGAAAAATCTCAATAAAATAAGGATAAATGACAAAAATACCCTCAATTTTGTCAAATCATTTTGGCCTATTGTTTATTATATTAAGGGTAATTTTGTAATTTGGATTCTTATTTAACATAATTTTTCACTGAAAGACCAAAATGATTGATGATGGACAATCTTAGGGACCACTCTATTGATTTCAAATATTAGGGACTAAAGTGAGGAGTTGGGCAAATCTTATGGACCATTTTGACTAAAAAGCCTTATAAAAGTGGGTGAGAGATATAGAGAAGAGCTCAAGTGTATGAGAATTGTGCCATCACTCCTTGGCTTAGTACTTTGTACTAATCATGATAGGTTTTCTTGCCTTAGTGATATTTCTCTTCACTTATAATAAGAGAACTTATGTTCGATTCTCGCCAAAGACGAATTTGAACTACATTATTGCTAGCTCATTGTAAGGCCAAGCTCACCCTCTCCGCTTAGTGTAGATAATATCGTTTGTTAAAAAAATAACAATGAGGATTTGGTCTCCAAATCCTATTGGAATTCTACTTTAAATTCATACAATCACATTCCTAATTAATAATTCTATTAACAACAATATTGCTATTTGTATGTATGTATGTGTGTATATGTGTGTGTGTGTATTTATATTTATATATACTCAAACTCAAACTCCCCTGGTACTATTCTAGAGCAGTAAAATGGCGAGAATGCCCCTATTTTTTCCTTCCTCTTCGTTTTAATGCTGATTTTGTACATTGATTTGACCGTTTTGTCCTTACTGCATGCGCATCTCTCATTCCTCCGCCTCTAGTCTTTTTTTTTTTTGGGTTTTGCTTTGCTTTTTCAGTACATGCTTTCCATGTGTTGATCATCGGCAGTGTTTCTGTTGAGAGGATTTTTCCCTTTTTGTTTCGTTTTCACTCCTCTCTTTGTTTACTTTTTCCTTTCATTTTTCTGCTTCCTCTCTTTAGCCTCTTTTTTTTTCGTCTTCAGTTTTCTGTCTTCATCTTCTCATCCTTGGTCTAGCGCTTCGCACGCTGCCTTCTTGGCGTTTCAAGTCTTGCTGTTTTCTGGTTAGTTGTGTGTATTTTTGGTTGCCCTTTTTTTTTGTTAATTTTATATTGAGAGTTAGGTATTTTGTTTGAATTTGGGTTTAGTTGATTTTCAAGGTTTCAAGTTGGTTGCCCTTTTTTGCCCTTTTTTGTTTTTAATTTTGTATTTAGAGTTAGGTCTTTCGTTTGAATCTGGGTTTAACTGATTTTGAAGATTTAGAGTTAACTATTTCCTTTGGATTTTTTTCTGGGGCTGAGACTTATAGAATAGTAGGGCTTTCTTTCTGTGTTGGGATTCTAAGTGTGACTATGTGGTTTGATTCTCATTTTAATTTTAGCAAACAGTGTTCTGTGTTTTTTTTGTTTCTGTGTCGTGGTTGTGATCATGGGTGTATGATTTGGTTGTGTTTTGTATTTTCAGGAAACAGTGTTGTTCGTTATCCCAGCTGTTGTGTTGGCGTTTTCATGCTGGTTGTGCTTCAGATATGTCTTTTTTCTTTCTCTTTTTGTTTCCGCTTAATTTTCCTTATTTTCTGGTCTGGGATGAATCTGGTGCTTAAATTAGAGCAGAAAAAATAGAGAATAATAAATAAAGAATCAAGGAGAAGGCTTTCTTGCGCTTAATATGTTTGTAAGAAATTGATTAGCAAATTCATTAACAACAGTATGTTAAATGTTACAGTATTTAAATATTTATTGGTGAGAATTTTATTAACTTAATGAAAAGTTGCAATACTTAAATATTCATTCTGAGTAAAGAACTAACCATCCCTGCATTATCCATTTCTGTGCCTGCATGCCTGCTAACTTTCCAGCTTGAATTTGACGATATTGGAGAGTTAGATCCATCAGGGAACATCTCTTGATAGTATTTATACAAGGTTTTGCATCCCATGTCACCCAGCATTCATTATTTTTTTGTATGTAAATGCTGGTTCCACTTGAGAGGTAGATGCAAGTGTGAGAATCCAATCAATCACTGTAATATTTTTTGTCTATTTGTAAGGAAACAGGTTTTAATCTTTTGTATCTAGATTGGATTTGATATCATTCAGGTTTCATTCGTTCAACAGTCTTGATTGTTATTTTCAAGCCAACTACTACATTTTCCAACAAATTTACAAAGACAACCAAGTTGGATTCCGTTAAATTATATCACTATTGGTATTGCAGATGCCCACCTTACAGAAATTACAAGGTTTGCTCCACTCTATACTTTGATACATTTAATTCAAATTCGTATATTTCGGTAAGAAACAAACTATTATCTATTCCTTGAGTTAGATAGAGTTGTAAATAGATTGAGTTAAGCAGAATTGTAAATATCATTCAAATTCGTATATTTCGGTAAGAAACAAACTTTTATCTATTCCATCAGTTAGACAAAGTTGTAAATAGATTGAGTTAAGCAGAGTTGTAAATATAACTTTCTACATGTTGTATGCTATTTAAAAACCCGCAATATCGCGCGGGCACCGTTGCTAGTCTATATCTATATCCCTATGGAAATTCTATCTATATCTATATCTCTATGGAAATGGTTACTTAGTTTCATCCTGCAAAACAAAACCAACTACAATATTTTATACATACAAGGGCTTAAATTTATGTAAACCTTCAAACACTGTCATGAATAATGATGTTTAATTAGAATTCATTTTGAAAAAATCCTCGGAAATGAAATGGCAATGAATTGAAATCTACGTATTTATATGAATGTTATAGGTTTACGTTTTACATGTCTTATCCTAAACATTATCCCGCTCTCCCACATTAGCTAACTGCAAAAGAACATGTTTTGTTTCTTTTTCTTTTTTTTATTTTTGTATGGATGTGGATCTGAAAGGAATTGGTCATATAAAATGGATCTTTGAGTAACAAGAAGTATTTTATATATGGCAAACAAATAAACGTCATACCTTATTGAACCTCAAGAGTCTGAAACCTCTTGCAACCAATTAGAGAAATAAAATATTTTCAACGCAAATTAGCCGGATATTAGTATAAGATTAATCAGTGACGTAAAGATTAATGTAATAGAGGCCATGCAGATCAATGTTTTCGACGTGCATAAATGATCAATAAAAATGCTTATTGCTTAGTCTGAAGATCCCGATATCGGAATACCAAGTCTAAGCATGAAAATGTTTACTTGGTCAGTATCTGTCCTAATTGTTTCTAGAACTTTTTCTTGTAAAAAAGAAAAGAAAAAAAAAGTGTTTCTATATTTTTTAAGACATGTTTCATTGGAGTTAGTCTAAATTACATATTTATTATCGAAGAATCAAGAATTCTTTTATGACTTTTTGACAGAGAAATAAGAAGAAGATGGAAGATCATAGTTAATTTACTTTTCTACGTACATAATACATTCTTTACCATGTCATTTCTAACCTAGATGGTCAATATTCCGAACCAAATAAATTATATATTTTCCATCAAAGAAACAAGAGAGTGGGTTCGGTTATGTGAAATTGCATTGCTATGTCAGAAGAAGGATAGCTATATTGATTCGGTATACTCTAAAAACACCCTTGGTACAATCTTGACGAACTCACAAAGATTGGTTTTAGTGAATTTCCATTTACTGATTTAATCTGGGAGGATTATGACTCCTCATATTTAATATATCTCCAGATACTTTATATTGGAATTGAAGAAACAAAACACTATAAAGAGAATATTTATTGGAGGAGGTATAAATGGGCCAAAAAACAATTTTAGGAGCCTTGCGATAAGACGCGTACATTCCCCATGTTGTGGTACTTCGGACTGGTTTGGTATTGTTGTGCTTTAATAAAAAACTGATTATACTGTGCTGTGAGAATAAGCTTATTTTTGTTGCTTCACGTTTCAGCTTTTTTCACCCAAAATTGTGAAAATAAGCTATTTTTAAGTGTTTACCAAACGCATTTTTGAGCTCAGTTTTTTTTTATACCCACTTTTTTATAAAAACACATCAGTACCAAACCAGCCCTTCATGTCATTCGTATGAAGCAAAGTAAAAGACTTTGATCCATAAGTAATTGGGTAAATCTTTTAGAAACTTGGGTGGGAATAAAAAGAGAAGCAGATTTTTTTATTTTATTTTTATTTTTTTTATGAAAGAAGCAGATTAATTTAATAACGCAAAAATTCCTCAATTCATGACTTTAGTTACCATGTATTTACGAAAATATGAGAAACCATGTGGGTTTATGTTAATATCCGGCATTCCGTACAGGATCCACTCCCTTGGGCGATGTGGGATGTCACAATCCACCCCTCTTAGGGGCCCGACGTCCTCGTCGGCACACTTCCGGCCAAGTATTGGCTTTGATACCAAATTGTCACATCCCTGCCCGGGCCCCTACCACATCTCGGGCTCAACTCAGTCGTAGCACGATATTGTCCGTTTTGGGTCCCGATCACGCCCTCACAGTTTTGTTTTTGGGAACTCACATGAGAACTTCCCAGTGAATCATCCATCATGGGATTGCTCTCACACAAACTCGCTTAACTTCAGAGTTCCGATGGAATCCGAAGCCAGTGAGCTCCCAAAATGCCTCGTGCTAGGAAGAGATGAGAATATACATATAAGGCTTACATGATCCACTCACCTGGGCTATGTGGGATGTCACGTTCGATATATCCGTCGATATTTCCACAAATTTGCATCTCGATATTTCCATCGATACTGATATTAAACATTATTTATCTAACAATTACTTTTTTTTATATATTTTTTATAATATATTTTGAAAAATAATGAACTTACTAACTTCCACAGTCCCGTGGAGGTTTTTTTGTGAATTTTTATTATTTATTTTTTGAATTCTTAATAATAGAAGAACAATTTGGGTATTATGAAAGTTTTTTATTTCTCGCTTTATAAATATAGATTAAGACTAGAGTTTATAAAATAGATTATGACAAGAGTTTGAATTTCACTCAGGGTAAGTGAAAAAAAGAAATGCATTCTGGGTTTGTATCATTCTAGCTTTACCCATTGACACCTAGTAGTGGTTTGGTACTGAGGTGATTTTATAAAAAATGAGTATAAAAAAACTTAGCTCAAAAAAGTGTTTAGTAAACACTTAAAAACAGCTTATTTTCACAGTTTTTTTGGTGAAAAAAAGCTGAAAACGTGAAGTAACAAAAATGAGTTTATTCTCACAGCATAGCAAAAGCAGTTTTTTTTTCTAAGCACGGCAATACCAAATCAGCCTACTAGGACATGGGGAATAAATCCAACGGTAGAAAGCCCTTTGAACAATTGTCCCTTTATATAGGGTGGTGTTATCCACACCCTTTTATCTTTCATGCATTTCGGCTAATTTTCAGATATTAGATCGAATGAATTAAAAATATGATCAAATGAAAAAATTTAACAGGATGTGTGTGGAAGGTTCCCTCCCAATTTTCGTCCATTAAATCGAATGACTTGAAGATAATTAATGGACAGAAATTGAAATAAAATGTGTGAAAAGTAAAAAAAAAAAAAACGTTAATAGCACTACTAGGGTATATACTCACAGGACTAGTTTACACCCATCTCCATCATACCTTCAGGTCCACCACCATTATCTACCAGTCTAGTCTAACCAAAACTAGCATGGAATTTTTGGAAGACAATAAGATGTTCGGGCACCTAATTCCTAAGATATGGTTTCTATGGTTCTTCTAATCTCTTTTAGATTTATTCATATCAAGAACTTCTACAGAGGCTCGAGATCTAGTGCTTTTACGAACATGGGAAGGAATTTAAATTTGATATGTATTAATCCTAACTATCGTCGTCACATAAGCTAACTCAAGGGAACATCTATGTTTTGTATGGATGAACACTTTGAATATATAATATGAATCTACACAAATTGGATCACTTTGAAGTAATTATAAATTATTGCAAATTAATCAGTGCGGGGGTGTCTTAAGTTCATATATAATTAATAACAAGACGTATTTTAATGACAATCAAATTAAAGTCATACCTTATAAGAAAAAACCTGAAGAAGTTAGAAGACATCAATTTGGACTAAGCATCACACAGAAATAAAACATTTCCAACGCCAATTAGCAAGGGGTATTAGTATAAGATTTATGTAAAGTTGAAAGTAATGCACAATGTTTTCAACGTGTGTAAATGATCGATAATTGTGACCTCACAAACTAAATGGTGGTGAACATATTTGAACACGATTTCCAATTAGCTTAAGCTTAATCATTAGTCAATCACTTTAATATTCTGCTTATTTATAAACTCACGTTACTAAACTCGACAATCCACAAAGCTAGTTACAATTATACCTAATCGCTCGGAATGTGAATAGAGTGGCGAAATATAAGATAAGTTATAAGTTATAACGGATGCGTGAAACAAGTATATCTTTCTTAATTGTATTCAGAATTTTATCAATGATAAAAATAATAAATAATTTCAGCAACTAAAGAGTAACCCGAAACGATTTCATCCTACACATGCAGGTTGCATCATAACTCATATATTAGCGTTAAAAGTAGAAATTTTGTATACATGTCAAATAGTGATTTGTCACAATATAAATAAGAAATTTGATATATCATGAAAAAGGAAAGTAATAATTTGGCTTGGTAAAACTACAAAATGTTCAGATCTCTAATTTCTTTCTCCCCATAGCCCTTATGCAAAAGATTGGCCATATATACTTGTTTAATGCACTGACAATTTAGGGCTCATTTGAAAGTATTTTTAGAATAACTGAAAACACTTAATTTTAGTGAATTAATTTTGAACCTTCTATTTTCGTGTTCGATTCTCCATTCATTGTTTACCAAAAAAATTATTAGTTCTCTTTTTGATAATTTTTTTATCTATCTCTTCTTAATATATAAGTAAAAGATCTTAGGTTCGATTTTTGCTAATAACGAATTTGAACTACATTACTTATAAAGAAAGAAGAATATCATTAAACTGTAGTATTAAGTATAACCAATAAAATACAATTGAAAACATAAAGAAATGATTTTCCACTGGCATTGCACCCCTTAATTACATGCCAGATTCCACTTTAAACTTTTTCATTTTTTCTTAAGGTTCCTAACTTGTAAT